TTTTTAAAGAGTTTTAGAGCAAAGCAACTGAATGTGAGGATTTTTGTCAAGGGTATAGTCCCAGCTCTAGAAGCCTGAGCCATAGGCTACAGCGAGAGCCAGATCTGGGACTCCTGGACTCAATGAGGGGGGACTGCAGATTCTTTTCAATTCCACTTCTAATGAGGATGCCTAGGTTAGCGAAGCTGACAAATGTATCTTCCCGACTCTTGGATGAAGGGTGTTATAATGGTTGCAACATGGAGGGACCTCCAGGGTTCCAATCATGACTGTGGTATTGACTCACCATGTAACTTCATACGTAGGAGGCAAGCTAGCTGGCTGGAAGACAAATTCTTAGCGAGGGGGAGTAAAAACAGAGATGCCAAGAGGCCACGTAGGAAAAAAAAAAAAAAAAAAAATGCAGGGAGCATGTAGATGGAGGGAAGAAAGAAATGGGGAAATGCATTTTGTCAGCAGGGCATTCAAAGCAGCTGAAGTGTGGCACTGAATGCAAGTATTGTGCTTCTGACTTCGTTCGTAAAGGAAACAGCGTTCCATTCAGGCAGGACAATGAGGGGTGCAGACATCCCTGCCCAGGTTTCTGCAGCATGGAAGTCACAGGCCTCTTCTGCGCTGGATATTTGTCCCTGCTCCTACCGCAAAACATTACTTTTGGCAGGCAAGCTACTATATATACACCAGTGTTGTTAAATCCAGCTGTGGAAAGTGCAGAGGTGCACACTGTGCTTACAGTGATTTAGTCCGTCTACACTGGGGCTAGGGACAGAAATTACACAAACTGGTATAAGCAATTGGAAACCGGTTAAAATCTGTAACACAACAGAAGTTCAGTGCCCATAAACCACTTTCAAAATGGCTGAAACCAGTATAAGATAAACCTGGATGGATATAGTATCAGACTTAACTAATTTAAGTTAATTCGGTTTATTGAACTGTCCCAGATCCCCTCCAGATTCAAGCCATCTGCTCCAGCAGACCAGAGAGGCGTGCTCTGGCGCCCCCCGCCCAGCTTCTGGCTTGGGCCACTGCAGGCATATGGCTGCATTTCTGGAATCAAAAGTGAATGTCTGTTCACTTGTTAATCGGTTCAATTTACACAGTTTAGACTAATCTGCGGAGATTGAATCGATTCAGCCTTGGGCTTTTTGATGTTCTGTACTTAGCCTGGGGGTTTGTGCTAGGACAACTACCCCATTGCTTATCACTATTGGCTGAAGTTCCCAAAGGCAGTTGCCTTTGGCAGTTCCCAAAGCCATTTGTACCATGTGGCAATCTAGTGGGTGTGAAGCAGAGCAGCCTGGGATCAAGGAACTACTTGCAGTGTGGCTGCCTGGGGAAAAGGGATGACTTAGCCAAATAGCTCAAGGCCAAATAGTTTCTGCACTTCCTGAGTCTGGTGCTTTCATATGCCTTCTTAACCCCACTGTGGAAAAATGAAAGAGCAGCCAATCCGTTTCAGGAAAATAAAGCAAATTCAACAACTTCACTTTAGCCATCCTGGCTGGCAATGAGAAAGTAGAGAAAGGCTGTCCCGCCAAACTCGCACCTCCGACACAGGAACAGCACAGGGGTTGGCCATGGCACCCCCTTCTGATCGCAAGCTGAAATGGCATTGCAGAGACCCTTCCATTAGACTCCAACTGCAAAATGAATTACTGGGGAGCTGGGAAGGGGAAAGTTGAAACAAAGAGCTAAATTGTGTATTGGAAGGGCAGGGGTGAGGGAAGGAACCTACGATCAGTAATGGAATTTAAGAAGAAGAAAAAAAAAAAAAAAAAGGCAGGGCAAATATGTGGCTGTTCTCATCTTTCCTAGTGAGCAAGCCAAGGAAGTGTCACAATGAGGCTGGGTGCAGCTGGGCTGCAGAAAACATGCTCGCAATAAAGCAATATACTTTCACTCGCAGAAATATGTTACCCTATAGAGAGTGAGAACTTTGGCCCAAAGCTACCCGTGTAGTTACTTACTCTGTTCAAGATCCAATTATGACCCTTGGGCCCACAGCAGTTGAGCACATCAGAAGCATTCACAGGTTGTTATCCTTCCAACACCCACCCCTTGGAGATTGGGAATGATTTACCCAACATGTTTAGAGATGGGTATTACAAGCCTGGGACGTTACTATGCAGTAAGATGGGTGTGAATGTATGGTGCACTAGCTACTCCGCACTAGCCCATGTGTAGACGCTCTTAATGTGCATTCAGTGAGACTCTGCAGGGGCTGCTTACTTCACTTTGAAAATAGATTACACCTCCTCAATCTTAGTCTGCAGGAGTTAATGAGGAACACCATATTTTCCTCACATACAACATGCACCATGCCTCCAAAAGAGCTGTTGGAAATTTCAGTGCAATTTATATGCAAGAAATAAGGTAAGAAGAGTTTCTGCCTTACCAGGCAAAAGTGAAAGTCAGATGTGCATACTACTTACAGGCAGCAGAAGAGAGAGCAGGTTCAGCTCTTTCGCTGCTGCTACTGAGTTACTTACTACAAGAAACGTTTGGTTTTGTTCTTTAGTCTGCCTTTCAAAAAACAAGATGTGAATTTTATTCTAGGCTGGGTTGTATATGAGCAAATATGGTAGACAGCGTGGTTTAAGTTCGCACTCCAAGTAGAGTAGTCCTAAGCAGCTCACCCAAGGAATGTATCACTAAGCTAGAAATTGAACCATGCCGTTAAAGTCTAGGCCAGAACCTCATCTACTTAACCATGTGTTTTGTCCTTAAATACTCACATTTTAGTATTTTCCCATTTATTTCCCTTCCCCACTACCTTCTTTTTCTGTTCTGCTGCTTTGAAGACCAGCCTGCGGCTGCTTACTGTCACAACCCAAAGGTGTGATTTTGTTTTGTGTGCGCTTTGGCACCACTGAATTATTTTCCCGCCAATTTGTAGCTTTCTTTGCCCTGTGCATTTCTTCTTTGCAGCACAGAAATGCACTTTGCAAAGAGTTCCCGCCATTTGTATTATAATTCGAGCCCCATTATTGGCTTTTGTAAAAATATTTACACGTGGGGGGGAGTGGGTTGGTTCACGCTGTGTGAAGATCTCTAAGCGCTGCGGAGCCTATCGGACCCAGTGCATTTCAAGAAGGCAACAGGGGTCTGATCAGCCTCTAGCCTCTCCCCGTCGCTGAGCGCAATCCTCGATGTATCCCTCTTCCCTGCGCGCACAAGTTCCACGGAGCCTAGCAAACTTTGTGTGAGTCTATTCAGAGCTCTTTTCTTCGAGTACTTTCTTTGGTTGGCGCGACGGGCTCGCGGTTTAGGGCCTCCAACTGGATGGGCTAGAAGAGTGTTCACGGGAAGGAACTCTAGTCCGCCTCTTTTCTTTTCTATCTGTAACTGCAACTCAAGCAAGTTTTCCTGCCTGCACCGCGACCATCTTCGGTGTAAGTAAATAATCTTAAATCAACCATTACAAGTCCGTGCCTAATTCCAGTGTGTCGCCCGTTTTCTCCGACCCAGCGTGCCCGGGCTGCTGGCCACAGCCCGCGCGGCGCGAAAAAGGGCCCGGATCGCTCCCGGCCTGCACACTTACCTTCCAAATACAGGAGCAAAACTTTCCCAGCGTCAAACCTGAATAATTTATCACTATCCAAATGCAGGCGAGCCAACAGCTCCGAATATATTTTTCCATGACTGTTAGGGTGCGGGCTGTCCCTCCAGCCTCCGGCGGGGGGGACAGCAGTCCTGCATTCGTAACCCATGCGATGGACAACTGGAGGGGAGGGTGCTTAATCTAAGCACGTGCTGTTGAGAAGAACAAGAGTCTAATTTCTTGAGGACACAACTTACCTCTGGGTCTGGATCCAATACACTTACACCAGCGTAAACTGCTTTTATGCTGGGGTGAACAAGGAAGAGACTTGTGCCAGCGTGCTTACTGGGGTTTGGGGAAAAGCAGCAGGAAAGAGACACCAGTGTAGCTTGGTGTGTGTCCATGCTTTTCCCGGATTACCCATTTGTTCATGACTACTGCATGTTCTCTTACTACCCGGTGGAAAGGCAGCATAATAGTTGCCTATTGTTGCAGGAAGCCCAAGGCAACTGCTTGTCTGTCCACTGTGGATCGCTGTATGATTTTTTGTCGATGTAGATGAATTATACCAGTGTTAACGCGCCGTCTCTTCTGTTTGCCCAAGACTCCCTTTACTGCTGCTCCTCGAGTCAAAGCCCAACAAGCTTTTTCCTATTAGTTATCCCTTGGTGCGCACATGCCATCCAAAACGCCATTCATTTCAGCATCCTTACCTTGTTTGCCTTGCATGAAGCAACATGTAACCACTGCCTTCTGGTAGAGACCCCGGCACCAATCCTCTGCACGTCCAGGGCAGGTGTCGCAAGGGCAGCTTTCTGCACCCTTCACGCCCTCAGCCCACTCTGTCCCTTTATGGAGGACTGCTGGTCCCGTGGCAACAGCGATCGGCCTGTCTCACACCAGTGACCCGCATGGCAAAAGGGACTGGGCTGTTGGGAGTCCCGTTGTGATCAGTCCCTCCCTTCAACTATCTGCCTACCCTCCTTCCCCATCACGCATCATCCTTCCCACCTAGTCTCAGTGCTTCTCCTTCCAGTCCATCCTCCTCCCTCCATCTTTCCAGTCTTCCCCTTCATCCCTCCATTTTTTCTCATTCCCTCCGTTCTTTTTAAATGCTCTTGTCATTCCCCCATTTTCCCCCTTCCCCTCAATCACTTCTCTATTCTTCCCTCCCTCACACCCTTTTTCCCGCCTTTTTAACCCCATCCCCTCTTGCGCATGCGCCCCAGAACAGCCCCAACCCCGCCCAACGGGTTGCGCATGTGCAGTACCACACCATCGAGGTCGAGCGCGCGCTCTCTTGGCATGTGCATTGCCTAGGGCCAGGCAGAGGCGGGTGAGCCTCGGCGCATGCGCCATGATGACCCAGCACTAGAGTAGAGGGGGGCGCCTGATTCTCAGTTGGCGCACGCGTACTTATTAATCAAGAATGGGACGGCAGGAGGCCTCTGCGCATGCGCAATAGGAGGATGGTTTCTCCCCGTTCCTCGCTGCCTTGCTGCTTTCGGCGCATGCGCGCGGGGCGGCCCACGGCCCAGGCGGCAGAGGCAAGATGGCGGCGGTGGTACAGAACGTCGTGAAGCTGTGAGTGGTTTCGCCCCCCACCTCCTTTCACACCCCCCCCGGTGGGGGCAGTGGTGCAGCCCGGGCCTCAGCCGCGCAAATGGAACGGGGGGGACCCCCGGGCGAGACCAAGTCGCCGGAAAGGGGAGGGACGGAGCCGTGCTCCGTCTCCGGGGCTTTCATTGTTCGGCGCAAAGTTTCGCAGCCTGGCTCCTAGTTTGGGGGAAGTACCCGCCCCCCGACCCTGGGAATGCGCGGGGACGGGGGACCCCTTCCCCCTCAGGCTTACTTGGTAGCGCCCGTGGAGAGGGGATGGGACCCCCGTGGAGTTGTGGGGGGCAGTAGGGGCCCTGTAG